AGGCCCGATGAAGTTGCCAAACCGAATGTAGGAGCGATCGTGGGTGCAGTGGTAGGTGGTGTAGTTGGATTGGCTTTGACAATAGGCCTTGTTCTGTTCTTCTTGAGACGTAAGAAGCGAAAAGCGGCAGAGGCTGAGCATGTCTCCGACGAAACAACCGCAAACCCACCAGCGTACGAAAAGCGTGGCCCGGAGATTCAACAGGCGCCTGGCTTGGATGACATAGCTCACAGGACCTCTGCGGCTCCAGATGTTCACGAGATGTCTGGAAATCTTACTGCGGTCGAGTTGCCAGGGGATCATGGGACGTATGAGGAGAACCATTCGAATAACAGAAATGAGGTGGCCGGATGAGCTCTTCAAGCAGGTTGTTGTGCTCTTCGGCCCTGTAGCGAAAAAGATTCTGGAAAAGGTGATACGTAAGCAAAACAAGGATAATATTGCGGATTTTACGCCGGGGAACATATCTTAAGGAAATATCAAAAAGAATAGTTCTTCAACGACGGGCTTTTATTAATTAGATTCGTGCTAGCAGTGATACATTGCCGAAATAGCAAGTGCAATGTTGGAGTACGTAGGTCTTGAAGATGGAACCGTCATATCTTAGAAACTTGTTTTCTCTAGCGTTGTTAATGGAATAACAACAGAGGTTTTGTCCGCAGATTACCGTCTTTGGTTTAGTTCTGGCAAGTCGAAGCTTGCTCCTACTTTGTCCAAGGCTTCCCAACCTGGGGCCATGAGCCTGGAGGAAACAGCTTTCCATGTGCTCTCGATCTTGAATCCGACCAGCCTTGTGAATTTGGGTTCCTACTCTGGCCGTAACTATCTACAGCCATACTTACTGATAGGAGTGGAAAGAGTTGAAATGGGGAAGTTGCAAGCACGACGTTGAAATTAGACATCCCCGATAAATTGCGGCGGAGGTCAGTGCACCACAGAGGCACTCAACAATGGATCCCACCTTCCCCTCCCCCACCTCACGGCAACTTCATCTCTCCCCGGATTTTCCTTCCAACCTCCTCAACTTCATTCATCAACCTAGACCTCATTCTCGGGAAATTATGCAATGAGCATGCACTCCGCAAACCCACATCGACAAAGATGCACGCCCGTAAATTGGACTGACGCCTCAAGACCTGTCTCTGGAAAAGCTCTACGCATTGCCCCTCGATTGAGTGTCAACGGTCCGGCGTCATGTCACATTCGGAGCAAAACAAGCATCACGTCTCGGAGAGAATCATTAACAGCCGGCCTTTTTCCACGGCACAGAAGAGCCAACTTTGATTGTCAACCGGTACACCCCTGGACAGTCACAGACGGCACCCCTCGCCGACAGCAACTCGCAATTTCGAATGCGTACCGCGATTGGTTCAGCTTCACCTTGGCTCTGCCGGTGGACTAGGGTTGAGGGGCCGCTGATGCTCTCGTCAGGCTCGTCGGCAACATCTCCGCTAGAAAACACCCCTCTAGACCGGTTGACTACGACCCTATTTCTTCAGCCAGGAGTTTTCAAAGAACCGTCCCGTTAGCTGACAACAAGGCGCGAATCGGATTGCACATGGGCAACTGCACGTTCGCTCACGATTGTTGAAGCATACCCCGCATGGTGCAGATGATATGCCTAGCCCACGACAAGGAGGGATAATACGGTTGCCATCCAAGTCCCGACTCCACCTATCACACTGGCGATCTCTGCCGTCGGCCGTCTCCTTCCGACTACACATCGAGCCAAGCGTAACCCTCGACAATCCTCCCCCGATCTGACGCTTCGGGAACTAACTGCCTTAGCTCAACAAGCATACGAGCCGTTCCTCTGCCTCGCCAATGGTGGTCCCAACGCAATAAGCCGTGCCTGAAGCACATCTCTCCAGCCACCTCTTCTGTGGTACGTCGGTAACGTTGTCCTCTCCGCGAACCTTGATCGACGCTCTGCAGTCACACCACTCCATCGCCGCTGAGAAGTGCCTCGCGTTAGCTTGCTGATCCAGCCAACCTGCATACATGACAGTCGGCTGGTAGGCACCCATTTCAAAGAGAAAATCCGGGGGTTGTAACGCACATGACCATTTGTCCAGGCTTGTTGTGGTGGGTAGGACGAGGCTAAGGTTTAAACGTCTTGTCGATGCCGGGCGCGCTTACACTTGACACTATGTTCCCGAACTCTGCCCATTTCTCGGGCAGGCGCACAAAAGTCGGGCGGCTTTCAACCGGCCAAGGGTGTATGTTGCACGCTGTCCGGACACCCTTACCATGCAGAGAGTAAGCTTAGGTCTCCTGGTTGTACACGGACGGATCGGGAGCGATTACTCGGCTACCCGCCATGAGACAGCAGGCACCAGAGGATTTCGTATATGCCTCTACGATGTCTTTCCGTTACCTCACACAAGGTGCTACCATTGCCTCAATCGAAGCCAATTGTGGCTGCCGCAGGATGTCTCTGTCTGACTGCTGTGGCGGTAATGACGATCTTGGTCGCGGTGACAAGATGACGGCTTTGGCAATAGGAAGCTTCGCGCCAGACTTGGCCCGTCTTGCACTCTTTGTCTTTGTATCACCAGGTCGAGACCCGAGTCAACAGTCTGGCAATACGATGGTGTGCGCGATTCACGGGCAGAGCCATGTAGGCTCGCAGAACGCGGTTCAAAGGCATGCATGTACGGAGTGGACAAGCCGTGGACAAGCGGTCCTACAGCTCACAGCCTCCGAGGTTGCCCAATCCGACTAGAGATTCTGTGCTGGCCGACCCGTCGACCGGCCAGCTGCGGATGCTGTTCGGCAGGTGTCAGACAGTCTGATAGCCATGCGGATCATGGGTGTCGGATGGGTCGAGCGACGGACTTGCGAAACACCTGGTGCTTCTGCTGCAACTCTTCACAGGCATGTCTTCGGCCGACAAGTAGATGCGACTTGGAGAGCAGGACAGGCCGCCGGCATCGTGTTTTGGTTGTTGACTCTGCTGTCGTACCATCGTGGCTTACCGTCCCTGGTTCAAGGCTCACAGCCTTTTGCCGCGCCGTCTAGTTTCATCAGAGGACGAGATGTTCGCTATCAACCGACAGGCATAATGCGGCCGGATCAAAGAGGAAGGATGTGAATGCCCTCCGCTGGGACCGACCGCGGTTGAAGCCCCCCCGGAACCCTCGGCTGAACGGTACCTCAGATGTACCTTGCAAAGGAACCGCGGCTGATGAGGGGATCAACTCTTGTCACATTGACGAGCAGATCGAACGATTATCGCTGCAATGAGAGCTTAGCTCTTAGACGGAGCTGGCTCCTGGCTCTGTTCGTTGCTTTTTGCCTGTGCAACGCAACCACGGTACCGTCCCGCGCCGTAGTATCGTGGGATAATCAGTCGGATGCGCCAACACAGACAATGGCGTAGCAACCCAGCCTTGATCCCACGGCGTGCACCCAGCGACCCCGCGTCTATCAGGCCTAGATGGCAACCACATGGCAGCCACGCAAGTCTGCAGCTTCGGGGGCGTTATCGGGGTCCAATCGCAACCAAGCAAGGGCAGCATGTAGTTGCTCTTGGCAAGATGCCTCCTTTCTGTTCCTGGTTTTCAGTCAGCCCTCGCTTGCTCCGTCGTCTGGGCCTTCCCGGCTGGGACCGCCGAGATGATGCCGGCGAGGTGATGCCGACGGGATTTCATAGCCAACCAACAACGTTGCAGGAGATGGACATTTCGGGCTGGTTCCCCACAATCCGCGGCATCGAAGGACCGGGGGCGGAGAAGGAGGCGAACGAACATGGGCCGCCGCCGCGGCTTGTCTTTTCTTCACAAACCTAGCCAGACAGCGCTTGAGGAGCATGGGTAGGGGTTCTAAGACATTCGAGACATGGTGACGAGTTTTTCCACAGAGTGAAATTCCTTGATGCATATGCAATCGGTCGTTGCTAGCTTCGCCACGGAGGCGAGTTATGACGATGGCTAATGTCTCTCGCGATGCATCTTCTCTGACGGAAAGCGCATAAGCGACTGGACGTACGTACAAAATATGTTGGGCAAAAAAACAACGACACAGCATCGTGTGTGCGTGCGTGCCTAACCGACATGGAGTTTCCGTTTCGGATGCTTTCTTTTGCCTCCTCTCCCGCCCTTGGGATTCCACTACCGTCTGCCCCATGCTCGTGAACCAACCAGGAGTGAAGTGAGCCACACACGCCGACCTCATAATATTCAAGTATAGAAAAACAGTGTGTAGATTAGAGGTCGAACAGATACACTGTATAACTCGCTTTGCTTGCAGAAGGAGGAGAGAGATTTGGACGTTGTAGGATGGAATGGTATATGCATGTACTAAAAACATGGTCTCGGAAAGGAAAGGTTTTGCTTAAATTTCAAAGTAATGTACAAAAAGCCAACTTGATGACAAGAGACCAGTTGAAAACAACCAAAAGATAGATACACGCAAGAATTCTGAGTCCGGTCAAACGGCGCGCGCGAGAAGGGGTATTTCCGAACAAGACAACCACCAAATCAGGGCAAAGAAAACCTTGACGACGACGCCCGAAGATTTGGCTCAAGCGGAAAAGATGCGTTGTTTGTTGGAAAGCAAGAAATTTGGAGAGAAAATTTGTATGTGCATTTGGAATTTGGATAAGCCTTTGAACAAGAAAAAGACAGAAAAATTGGTTGGAAAAATGTTTGTCGTCAGCACGTGAAAAAGAACAAGAAACCGCAGAGAAAACGACAGGTTATGTGACCCAGAGACAAGAAAGCAGCAGCAAAATAACAGTGAAAGAGTTTCGTGTCGTTTGAGCAGCGCGCTCGCCTTTTCTAATAAAGCAGATTTCCCGACCTTTGCCGCCCCCTTTGCCTTTCCCCCTCCCGTTTGAACCAGAAACAGATAGATGCCTGCCATGTTGTGATGATGATGAATTGTTGTGTCTTCCTCCCTTGCCTTTCCTTGGGGTATCTTTACCGACCATGATGTCTTTCCAAAATTGTGTTTTTAAAAGTTTTTTTTTCCTCGTGTCTTCTCCTCCTCCGGTGTGTTTAGGCCGTGCTGCCGTATGCCTGAGGTGGCGCAGGGCCGGCAGAGGCACCGCTGAAGCTGCGTTTCCTCTTGAGTCCAAAGTCCTGGCCGTGCTCTTCCCTCTGCTGGTGGTGCTCGCCTGCGTGAGGAGGCATGGGGCCGCCGGCGCCGCCAAAGGAGTCGCGCATGGGGGTGCGCGCGTTGGAGGTCGTCATGCTGGCGTGGAAGGCCTGGGAGAAGTCGTTGGGGGCGGCGATGGGGGCCGACATCTGAGGCATGGAGTAGTCCTGGACACCGCCGGGTCGGTGGCCGGGTGTGCGGGGGAGGGAGAAGTCGACGGGGGCGGTAAGGGGCGCCGAGGGGAAGGAGGAGGTGTAAGGGCCTGATGTGGCGAACTGGGCGGATGTGGCACGCGGGGTGGAAGCGTGTCCTGGGGGAGGGACGGAGTTGACGGAGCGGTACTGGTTGCGCAGGTCGAGGCCGAGGGGGACGGTGCCGGAGGAGGCGCGGGCGCGCAGGCGGTTGGGCTGGGACTGGAAGTTTGAGTAGTTCATACCTGGCGGGGAGTGAACCTGGCTTCCAGAGTACGAGCCGGACTCGTAGGAGAGACCGCTGCTTGATGAGCCACTCATCTGGTCTGGCTGGTAGACGGACTGTTGTCTTCCGCTGAGCTGGGGGCTGGGGGTGGCACCGTGGTGGTAGGAGTTGTAGTCGATCGAGTCACCCTTCCATGACATGCTGGATCGCAGAGGGGAGTTGAGGTTCTCGGACCTCGACCTGTTCATGGTCTCGCGCAGCTGGAGGGGCTGGAGGGGGCGGGCGGGCTGGCCTCTGTGCATCGACATCGAGTTCTCCATGGCGCCCTGGCGAGCAAAGGGGTTCGACGTGCGGGGGCCGGGGCCCATAGGGGAGAGGTGGCTGCCGTAGCCGTAGCGGTGGTCGCCAGTCGAGTTGGGGGTCATGGGGGAGAGGATGTCGGGGCTGCTCATGGCGCCGGGCGGGGTGTAGGACATGCCTCCGAAGCCTGGGCTCATTGATGAGGACGAGATGTGGTCCTCACCGCCCTCTGCCCTCCTTACGTCCACCATCAAGGGTCGGATCATGTGGTCGGCGTAGGCTTGGGTGCCGAAGCCCATGGGCGAGGCGAGGGGAGTGCCGAGGCCGTGGACGGCGCCGTAGGGGGAGTGGAGGGCCTGGACATTGTCAAAGTCGTCAGGGACGGCGCGCATCTTGATCATGCGGTCACGGTCGTCGGCTGTGAGACGCTTGATCTTGGCACGGCTGGTGATTTTGAGTCAGTATGCTGCCATGTTTGGTATGGTGAGTCCGCGAGCAAACTTACCGGTTCTGGAACCAGACTTGAACCTGGCGAGGGCTGAGTCCGGGGATTTCCCTAGACAGGCGTTCTCTGTGGGCGGCATCAGGGTGAGGTTGCTTGGCGAACTCGCTCATGAGGAATCGCGTTTGCTGGTGTGTAAGACTATTGTTGTTGGTCAGCCACATGAGTGCAAGTCAAGTAGTACCAGCTCACTCACCGGAAGCGCTTCATCTTCCTGCGGGCGGCTGTCCGCTCAGCGGCAGTCTGGGGAGTTCCATCTCCGTCGTCAAGCATGTCATCGTCATCAAGGTCGTCGTCCTCATCCTTGCTCAAGGAGCCCTCATCATTCTCGATTTGGACCGTGGGAACATCGCCTGCCGTCGACGAAGGGGCTGAAGCCATCGTTACGCTCTGCGTTTCCGTCGAGGCCATGGTCTCCTGGGGTGCGGCGTCGGCCATCTTCTCTACACTGTTGTGTCGTTGCTCCTGCTTGAGCGTGTGCTGCTGAAGTTCAGGCTCGTCTTCCGGGGTGGGCTGCTTGACCTGCCGAAGGCCAAGGGGGTCCACGGGTCCGCGGCTGTCTGCGGTTGACTCTGACTTTGTTGTGATCTCTATTTGAGTGTTTGCGCCGGCCGAAGTGCGAGGTTCTGAGGAGTCATTGCCGGTCTCGTAGGCCTGCGAGAAGACGTTGTTGTTCTCCGGGGTTGGCAGGTATGAGTACTGCTGGCCCTGCCACTCGGGAGGCGTGGGCAACGGGGCTTCGAACTGGTTCGACATGCGTGGAGGTGTGGCGGGCCCGGGCTTGTGAATGGGGTTCTCAAACTTGCTGTAAGACCAGTGGCTCTGCTCAGTGGTATCGAACTGCCTGGTAACGAGCATTGGGACTGTTGGGAGGTTTGGGCTGATGTGTGTTGGTTGGGGTGTTGACAGACGATCTGAGAAACGTCTGTAGAGGTATGCTTGGGCCGATGTAGGCGTGGTAAGGAGTGTGGGTGTTTCCTGAAGAGAGAGTGGTGTTGTTCAACGAGTGGCGAGTTCCGAGATCGATGTCCAAATTCAGATGGTGTGATGGCGCATCGAGAACCTTTTCCAAGCGAGTTCTTCTCTTCGTGACGTGAGGATATCAGAGGTGACTGAAGGCACGGCTTCTGATGTCTGTTGTTGATGAACAAGAATAACCGTGGTAGCTGGCAATCTTGTAAAGCTCACACAAAGCTGTGATAGATTGAGGAGCAGAGCAACCGATGGGTCGGGCAACGGGTAGCTCAAATTGACGCCGTAGGGTCAAGGTGTGTAGGTGTCTGGGTTCTAGATGAAGACCAAAGACGGGGGCCCAGAAGCAATTTAATCAAAAAAGAAGAAGGAGTGAATGGATGTGTTGATGCGTCAAGTCAAGTTCGTTTTGGGAAGAGGAAGAGAGGATGATGAAAAAGGGAACGAGGACTTGGCTACCCCAGGTCCCACGAGGTAGGTAGGATCGATCATATATTGTATAAATTTGAGGGTGTGCCAGTTGATAGTATGGCGGGGTCGATCGACTGGGAGGCGTTCCCAGGCCTGGAACTGACAGGCCCCGTTATGTGTGGGCAAGTCCTTGGGATACCCGTGGTTGTAATAAGGCAGTCTGGTAGGGAAGCCCTTGCTCAGTAGTATGACAGAGGTGGAATTAATACCGAAGGGTACTGCCATCCACACGGAGAAATGTCGAGGCTGGATCCGGACAGGAGCAGGGCAAGCACGGGCGGCGGCCACGATGGGATAACGGCTGGTAGTCCTGTCTGGTCGAATGACGAGGGTTCAAGGTTGACTTGACGGTAGGTACATACGGTACCTGGTACCTGAGTGAGTGAGCAGTGGTGTCCAAGGTTGAAAGAGCAGGGGTGGGAGGGGGAGGGAAGAAGAAGGAGGAGGACTGGAGGAGGAGCAGGGCCAGGCAAGGCAAGGGAAGGGAACTGAGGACCAGGTACCGTACCGTCGTAGTGGGGATGAAGGCCTCGAAAGGGGACCCGATGCACTGTTTTAAGGCTCATGTCGATTCGAGAAAAGCCGCAGCAGCAGCTCATGTGCCATTCCATGCCCATGCGATGCCATGCCATGCTATGCCAGGCGGGTAGGCATGCCATGGGCATCGAACTGAAGGTCGCCCGCCAGGCCCCCAGGCTGGTCTCCCCCCCGGTGCGTTGGACTCTGGTCAGTGGTGAGGTACTTGAGTGAATTGAGTGAGGGTGAAGGGGGTGTGGTTTGGTGTGGGTGGCAGCTGCTGGTGAAGTCTTGATGTTGCTGCTCACTCCCGTTACTGCTGCTGCTGCTGCTCTTGCTGCTGCTGCTGCTGCTCTTGCTGCTGGTTGCTTTGGCTGAGCCACAGCCAGTCTCCAGTCTCCAGTCCCCGGTTGTTCCCAGTCAGTGGGAATTGGGTGGTGAGTGACCCAGTCCATCCAGCATCCAGTCAGTCAGTCAGTCCAGTCCACTCCAGCATCTGTGCGTGTAATGTGTATGGGTGTGGATATTTCTGTACACCAGCCGTGGGTCGTCCATGTCGCTGGCTGCTGCTGGTGCTGGCCTGCTCGCTCGGCTCCTCCTCCACTCCACCCTGGCGCTGTTCGAGAAAACCTGGGCAGAGCCTGGGGAATTCGCTAAAGGCGAGTGACAGACGGACGGACGATAGTAGCAGCTATATCACCGGCGCCCATGGCCTTAAGATTTTCGCGTCGGCTGAATGGCTAATGCCGTGATGTCTGTTGGAACCACACAACCGACGACCAGCCCATCCAGCCCATCCAGCTCAGCCCAGTAATGGCGCGACCTGGTCCGTGTTGCCAGAGATTCGCCAGATTGAGACGACAGATCCTACAACAGAGAGCAGCGGCAGCGGTGACCCAGAATGGACCTGGCTGATGTTGACACCTGAATCAGTGCAGAGCCAGGTGGACGGTTTTGAGAGAATGAGACAGGGTGCGAACGGGGCCCCCTTCTGGTCTGTTTCCTCACCACAGGCCCTTCTTTGGGGCGGCCGCAGTGTAAAAAAAGTAGACGGACAGGCACAGCTTGCAGGGCATGGCATGGCATGGGCTCAGGTTCAGGCACAGGCTCAGGCTCAGGCACAAGGCCTGCTCTCTTGGTGCCCTTCTCTTCGCGCTTGTACGGGATACAGGCATAGGCACCACCGAGGCGGCCGGCCCAAAAATAATTGATGCTAGCTGGGTAGGTAAGGTTGGAATGGATCTCTCTCGCTCGCTCGCATTGAAGAGAGCCTGATGAGAGAGAGAGAGAGTACTTACTATCCAGTACACACACACACGCATCGCAAACCCTTGACAAGTTGACACGGCGGCAGAAAGAGGTTCGGGAAAGAAGAAAATCAAGGAGTGAGAAGGGCATCTCGGCTGGGATATCTGGATGCTGCTCATTGGTCTCCGTGACATTAGCTCAGTGTCGACTCCACGGATGAACGCATGACCGTTGTCGAGCAGCCGGTCGAGGCCACGGCCAATGGGAAAGATCATCGATCAAGGGGAGGTGTGGTGGCTCTCACTCTCTCTGTGTCTCTCTCTCTCTCTGCACTCCGTCCCTTCTCTCTCCCAGAGTCTCAAGAGGCTGCTGCGGGGGGCGCGCGACCGGGATGGGATGGGTTGAGGGTGTGCAGAGGCGCGGGACGGAGTGGAGGGATCAGGTGTGCGCTTAGCGAACTCGACCGGCGAAAAAGAAGGGTCGGGAAATCTGGTGGGTGGGGGAAAGAAGAGGGAAGGGGAGCAAGGGTCAGGGTCGTCGCGGCACAGGCGTCGTGTACATACCTACGGTACCTGGCCTGGCACTCCTTTGGCGAGATACGCCGTTGCAGCAGCGATTGGAACTGGTCCAAGTTGACGGTCAACGACCAACTCGACGACGTGCTTGGCGGCCTGGAGACTCGACTGACTGGGCCACTTGTTGGGCTTCATGGGTTTGGAGAGATGAGCAGGTCCAACGAGGACCAGGCCCGGTATCCGTAGCGGCAGGGGAGGATACGGTAACGGGGGACGGGCGGGCACAGAAGCGATGGGTATGGTATGGTAAAAGTTGTGGGAATTTGGGCCCTCCGGAACGGCCATGGGACTTTCTCGCAAAGCAACGAAGACGAAGAAGATGGGTAATGGGTAACGACGGGTGACGGATGAGTCCCGACCCCGGCATACCGCCTGTGGCGACCAGGAGCCCGGGGAGGGGGAGATGGGAGAATGAGCAGATCCCCAAAGCAGATCTCCTCTCGCTTGTGAGGACGCACCGTACCGTATCGAAACCCCCCTTCACCTCGGTCTCGAAGCCTTGAGAAGAAGTGGTGCGCGGTCAGGGTGAAGGAACTTACGCGGCGGCCGTCTTGAGTTTCCCCCCGAAAGCTCCAATGGAGAGGGGGGCCGAGGCCGAGGCCGAGGCATTGGTGAGAAAGGAGAGACAACAGGTCTAAGCTAGCTATGGCGGGGACCTTTTCTTGGGTACAGCCATGTTTTGGAAAAGAGGCACAGAGAGGAACAGAAACAGGAACGCGCATGTCTGCTCTGCACGTACTGTAGCTGTAGCGTACAAGACGCACGACGCAAAGATGGGACGAGAACAACCCCCCACAAGAAAGTATGTTCGTCCTGGACTCCTGGGTTGGGTTGCCAGGGATCGATCGCATTACTCCTTCTCAAAAGCCGCGGTTCCACCTCCAATCTTGCGTGCACGCATGTCGATACCTTAGCTCATGCCGTGTTGTATGAGATTCTTAGCGTGTGTGGATAACGTCCAACGGACACGGCGGGAACGAAGCTGCTGTTGAATAATCTTCAAGGAACTGGGGGTTTCTTGTTGGTTTTGCCGGGCGATATCTGGCGTCAGTTATCTGTAGTGGCAGTAGTAGTACTCGAGCCTCATAATAAGGTACGGATAGAGGTGCTACCGAATTAAAGGTAGTAGTGCTGGGCCGGTTTCTTAGGTTCTTTAGTTCGCGGCCGCCAAACCTCGAGCCAACAGGTTTCTGGCCTCGTTGTTTTGGCCCCAGGAACGAGACTAGACGAATCAAACGACAGCCCAGGGGGCGGGAGGCGGTCAGATTAGATGAGGCCCTCTCTGCTGGCTGCTGGCTGCTTGCTGCCCCCAGGGTCCCGGGGCGGACGAAATGGAATTAGTTTCGTGTCGTTCTTCTGGTTTGACAGCACGGCACTTGTAGATTGATTGCAAAAGCGGCAGGGACGAACTGCACGGCGGACCTTGTCCGGAACGTCCGTAGCGTAGGTTCATACCACATTCTCCACGTGCCCATGATTCGATCGTGCGTGCGGGCGAGGGAAAAAGAAAGAGGGTTTAAAAAAAGGCCAACTGGGGCCCGGGGCAGTTCATCTATGTCAGGCTGGAGAAGCGCCATGCTCGTCAATGCCGTGTGTGGTGCGTAGGTGAGTGAGTGACTGTGTACCGCAGTAGGGAAGTAAGGTACTCGTAGGAAAGACGGGAAGACGAAGAGTGTGGCCAACGGCGAAGGCGTCAGGGCCAAGTCAAGGGCTCCTTGTCCAGCTAGCCGTTGCTGCAAGAAATGGACAAGTACGTATCTCGTGGTCTTGCCAAGTTGCGAAGCACCTGCATTTGAAGAAAGAAGCAAGCATGCAAGCTGGGAACAGCTCAGCAAGCCCCAACTTCCCAAGCAGACAAGACTGATCTGAGGAGAGCTAAGAAAGCTAAGCAGCGTTGCAACGGACGATGCTGGGTAAGGTAGCTACGAATGGCTAACTTAGCTGGAGGAGTATCCGTAAATTACTCTTACCTTCCATACGAATACCTTGGGTAGCTTCTTACACAGAAGTCTTGGTTGGAAAGCTGCCCGAAAGAGCCGTAGGCTGAAGACGATACCGCACCTTCCTCGAGCCATC